CTCATTAATCTTCAAGTTATATTGGCTTCTGGATATATCATTTAGATAATCCACCATCGCCATATGTACTCTGTCTAAAAGCCCCAGTCACTCAGGAGCCCGTTGTTACAACAACAACAACAACAAATCAGCCACACAGTCTCTTTTCCAACAACAACAACAACAACAACAACAACAACAACAAATCAGCCACACAGTCTCTTTTCCAATTTCCCCACTGAAATCATCATTGAACCATCATTCTCCCAAATAAGAGAACCTGAGAATAACATAAATTGGGGGAAAAAACCCTTAAATGTCTATTAGTCCTACCTCCATACTTTACAGATAAGAGGATATATAACTTGCCCAAGTCCCATTATTAGAGCTAGAATTCCTGGTCTCTATTTAAGCAAAACAAACAAATCAACAACAACAACAATGGAAAATAAATGTAGTCAGACACCCTGAGTTAGAAATCTGGTTCTAATAGTCTTTATACTTAAGTTATTTGTCTGAATGATGTAGAAAATAGCGGCAAATTTACAGGATGCAATTAGGTGAGATAACAGCTGTGAAAATATTTACCATGGTGAAGAGGATAGAGTAGAGGTGCAAGAAATGTTTGTTAATCAATCGCTCCTTAAACTGACCATTTCTAATAATGTTAGTTCTCTATCACCTTTCTTCCTTGACTCATCTCTTCCCATTGTCTCTACCCTAAAGCCCTAAATGACTCGTGAAAGTAAGTCATAACTGATCTCACTTTCCCATTTTCCAGCCCCAATCTATCTGCAAACCACAGCCCTGTCAATCTTCTTAAAACCCTGTCCCTATTCAGAAACTCAAAACAGAGGTCCTATGGTCTACTGACAAAAGAACATAGTCCTTATCCCACTTTCATCCTAACCTCCTCAATCTGATTCCATAAACCTTTTCAAAGCATTTTCCCATGGTCCTAATGTTCTGGCTCCTGGACACGCTCACTCGCAGCCACAAGGTCAAGCTATGCCATCCCACCTCTTCCCTGAAGTCCACTCTGGTAAAGTCAGGTGGACCTTCTTCCCAGAGCCGAAGGCAGTACTAATTACATCAACCCTTGTGTTGTTCTCCAATTCACTCATAAATGTGGAGATTCTACTCCACTGAGCAGATTATAACTCTTTAGCCAGTTTTTAAAAAGTCTACTTAATATCCCTTCCACAGTGCCTAAAAATAAAGCAATAAACACAAAAAGTTATAAACTCTGAATAATCCCAATTCTTATAAAAACAAATTACAGAAGGTTTTTCTATAATCATTTTCCCTGGAGCAACATCCTAAGTAGGGCTGAAATTTAGAGGCTGAGAAGATTAGCAATCGTGTAATACTTTTTTATATTATGAAACAGGATTGCCTCTGTAAAATAGTCTATCGCATATATTTATCTATCACATATACATATCTATCATATATATACACCACATGTGATGTACTTAAGACAAGTTTCATTTGTCAAAAATATAGCAGTGATTCCTAATATTTAAACAAAGTCATATCCACACTGTGAAATGCCTTCTTGAATTGAATCATCTCTACTTACATTTGTGGATATTGAGCAGAATTTGCGGGTTCAAGACTGAAGGCAAAAGTTTCTAAGGCTGCTTTTATCCAAGTCCAAAGGTGTTCCTCAGACCTTACTTTTCAAAAAGGTAGCCTTATATTCACTATTTTTAAGATAGCCACATTCCGCCTGTCTGGAGAGCGTGAGGTTTACAAAACTACAAAATGTACTCATGGCTTTTTGTGAACAACACCCTAAGGTTATTCTTGTTTCCTGGAAACTTGGCTATCATGTATAATAACTGGACAATTTGGTGAATTTGGTTCAGAAAAAAAATAAAATAATAATAAAAGGTGAACAGATTGCACTGCTCAGTCAACTGGTGGATTCCAATAGGATTTGATGCCTCATATAAACCTGAAGTTACTACAAATTGTAGATCGTCTATCACAGTGACATCATTTCCCACTGTATTCTCAATTTCACATCTTACATATTTTTATTTGTTTATGAGAGAGAAAGAGCAAGTGGGGGAGGGACAGAGAAAGAGGGAAAGAGAGAGAGTCACAAGCAGGCTCCACACTGTCAGCTCAGAGTCTGATGTGGGGCTCAAAACCATGAACCATGAGATCATGACCAGAGCTGAGGTTGGACGCTTAACTGACTGAGCCACCCAGGCGCCCTTCACATTGTATTGTGTAAAGTTTCTGGGAAAAAGAAAAAGTAAAGAAGGTTTTATTTGCACCATAGATAAATCTGTAAGTATTTATGTAGCAGGAGCTTGTTGCCAGTCATTTTCTTATTATGGTATCTCTGCTAAGATTTCTAGCAGTAACAACTGAGTATTATTATAATTGTGATAGTCTCCAAAATAAGATATATTCAGGGTCATTTTAAGTAAGGAGTTTGAATAATTGTATTAGTATCCTATGCCCAACTCAACAATAATAGGGAATCTATATATTTCACCTGTAGTTAGAAAACAGGTATGGGGCGCCTGGGTGGCTCAGTCAGTTGAGTGTCCGACTTCGGCTCAGGTCATGATCTCATGGTGCATGGGTTCGAGGCCCGTGTCGGGCTCTGTGCTGACAGCTAGCTCAGATCCTGGAGCCTGTTTCGGATTCTGTGTCTCCCTCTCTCTCTCTGGCCCTCCCGTGTTCATGCTGTCTCTCTTTCTCTCTCAGAAATAAATAAATAAAACATTAAAAAAAAATTAACAGGTGTAAAAAAGATCTCTCACTTCAACATTAGCACATTGAAAATTCAAGTCAGTAAGTTCTAGTGTCTTTATTTTTACAGTTCCCTAACTTATTAAAAAAGCAGTTTTACCAGTTTCTTTCTTTTGAAATGATTCCAACTTTTTATTGCAGACCTTCCTGAAGATATTTGAAGATTTAACTTCCATGGTGCACAAAACAGAAGACAGAAGCACTTCCTCTAGTTTGTCAAGTACCTACTTTGGAAACCGTGAATCTTTCCTCTCTGATACGGTCACATGTTGAATTTACTTGATTTTAAGTTCAATTTAAGTTTTTATAAGAACTGAATCAACACAGTGTCTGATAAAATGCTGCAAACCAGCTAATATTTTTTGAATGCAGAAATTAAATAAGACTAGTTCTAAATAGGTCTTTCTTAAGAGAGTGAGATTGGCCATCCCAGCTTACAATGTTCAGAACTGATTTGAATTCTTAAGGCTATCATGCCCCTCACATTAGAATCAAAGTTTTGAAATAAGAACACACTACACAGTTTCTCTTTGTCTCGTTAAATGTATAGGTAACTGTATGTCATACGATTTAACTGCATTTCCTTTAGGATATAAAGTGTGTGATAAGAGCAGACTCAAAGATATGGCTCTCAAGCGACAACTGCGAAAAATTCAGATGTTGTTTGCCCTTAAAGTTATGTTAATTACCACACCTTAATTAAGTGTTTATTTTTTTAGAACTCTTTTCCCTTCTGGTTGGCACCTATATACCTCATTCCTCAACCACAGGAGTAAAGGTGTCTAAATAGGTGCTGACTTTGATAAGCTATAGTGATGACATCAGCCTGAGTTCTAGTTCCTGGAACAGAGATCTGTGACCACATGGTCACTTGCGGGCAGCGAGGTCCCAGCACAACCCCTTGTCACCACATGTCACTGATTTGGAGGCAAGACTTGTGCTCTAAATATAGCATACCAGTTAAACATAGGTATTCTGGAATATCTGCGTTGTCAAATGCAGGGGAGAGTGGGAGGGGAAAAGGCACCAAGGTTCTGTTTTTAAATACAAGGGGTTTAAAATTAAACGTGATGTGGTGCACAGCAACGTCAATATACTTAACACCACTGAACTGCACACTTAAAAATGGTAAATTTCATGCTATGTATATTGTATCGCCAAAAAAGAAACTATATGAGAATGGGTTCTGAACACTGTCCATGGATTTAAGAAGTTTTTCACTATTCACCATAAATTCTATTAAATTTTCAGGTCCAATATATCATCTGCTGTAACTCTTCCACACTGACCAGGTCACTCTTGCTGCAATGCCTCCTATTAAGCGAGGCTGCTTGGAAGCCAAATGAACATCCACTCATCAGGTACTCATAAAGGACACTTACTCACAGAAGTCTCCAGCTAAAAGCACCAGAGAGGAGAGTCTGGAAAGCACAAGGGACGTGTGGGTGTTACACAAGGAGCATGTGTAAACATCACTTGCTCCCAGGCTGCGCCCCTCTGTGAGGAGCCAGGAAGTGCAGGAACCCCTACCATCCTATCTCAGAACTGGCCTTGCTCCAGCCTTTGGTGGTTGGCACAGGGGCAAGCATAGGCTGGCCAGAGTTCCCAGGCCTTGGGGTCCCCCTGACTGAATGTGGGTTCAAGCACTCTCCAGAGGGCACAGCACCATTTCAAAGGGCCCAGGCAGGCTGCAGTGGCCAAGGGGGTCTTCCTTCACTCTCTTGCTTCCAATCAACAGTGAACCTACAAGGAAGGATAGTCCAGCTGTGCTGGGAGAGCGTGCAGTGTCTCAGAAACTGCAAGAGGGCTGTGCCCACTAGCTGCTGCAGGTAGAATACTTCTGCGGACTGAAAATCGTCTCAGCATGCATGAGATACTTGAAATAAGGAGAAAACGCACAGCAGCAGGCGACAGTTGTCACAGCCATTCTGCCCCTACTGCACCCATTACAAATCTGTTTCTCTGCATACGCACTGAAATGACACCTGGGCATTCTCCTATTCGTTCTGATTAGAATGGGAGCAGCCCGGTGGCCTCCATGGGTCCATAAACAAAGCCTAATGCGATGCCTGGCACTTTTAAGGAGGTGCTCAACTCTGAAGCCACAACCAAGACAGCGGGACAGAGGCCTCTCCGGTCCTCTGTGGTCGCACACACACCCCTGCAGGTGCTGCTGCATCCAGAGGTTTCCTTTGCCCGCCGGCGCGCAAGCCCGCCCAGACCTTCGCACACAAGCTGAAATCACCTACCAGCAAGGGCGACCAGCAGACAGAGAGCACGCACATGATCCCCATGAGCTGGATGGCCGTCTCGGTGGTGATCCGACCCCACTGGGCACCGGACTGCGACGCCGTGGCCTTGGCCCGGCAGCGGGACACCAGGGCCTTGATGGTGGCCAGGTTGCAGGCAAAGGTGACGGCCAGCGCCGAGAGCCCCAGGAAGGCAAAGGTGGAGGCGAAGAAGAGGTTGCCCCAGTTGTGCGAAGAGCTAGTCCCGTTACCTCCTCCCCCGGTGCTAATGAAGCACCACGTCCCGGGCCACTGGACCGTGTACCGGCCCACGCCCAGCACCGGCAACAGGGCGAAGGCGAGCACCGCAAGCCACACGCCGAGCAGCACGGCGCGGGTGGCGCGCGTCTTCATGTGGCTCGCGTACCAGTGCGGCGCCCGGATGGCCAGCGCCCGCTCGACGGCCATGGCACTGGCGATGAAGAGCGAGGAGAGCCCAAAGACAGTCATGGTGAGGCCGAAGAAGGTGCACAGCCTCCCCGACGGGTCGAGCTGCTCCCAGCGCTGCTTGGACAGGTACACGACGATGACCACCGGGCTGGTGAGCAGCTGTCCGACCAGGTCGGTGAGCGCGAGCCAGCCGATGCACAGCAGGAACGACTTCTTGCGCTTGCTCTCCCGACGCCGGTAGCTCCGCGACACGAGCAGCATGGCCAGCGCGTTGCCCACGAAGCCGGTGATGAGCATGGTGATGGGGAAGGCTACGGACACCGAGCCGCAGTCGTCGCCGGGCTCGCGGGGACGCGTGAGGTTGCCCCGCGCCGCGGCGGAGCGCTCGGGCGCCCACATGCCCGGGTACGAGTGGTTGAGGCGGGTGCAGAAAGGGGCGCTCCCGTCGCCACGGGTCTCCTTCATGTTGGCTTCGAGGTGAGGCGAGGACGGCGCCCGGAGAGCAGCAGCGGGAGCTGGCAGACGGGGCGCGGGCGGCGGCGCAGGTCGGTGTCCGTCCGGACTGAGGCTGGGGCTGGGCTGCCCTCCATGGTGCGGGGCGCAGCCGCCGCCTTACTTCTGGCCTCTAGCCACGGCGCCTGGGCTTGCAGGCAGCCGCGCCGTCGGCTCCGGAAAGCCTGCAGCTCCGAGGCGCGCGAGGCGCGGGCCCCTTGTATGAGGCCGCGGAGGGCGGGGCGCCGGGGGTGTGGGCAGAAGGGCGCTGGGGGGGAGGATGCACGAGCCGCTGCGCGCGTCCCCCGGCTGCTGCCTGGCCGCTGCCCTGGCCGCGAGGGCTGGACACTCTCCGGACGGCTCCCCCTGCCCCGACTCCGGGCCGGACGCGACGCCCGGCTGTTCCCTGAGCCGCGCCTCCTCCTCTTCTCTGCCGGAGGAGCGGCCGTGGGCGGCCCGGGCTAAAATGTCTCCCTGCGCTTCCCGACCCCAGGCAAGTTGCCAAGGCCGACCCGAGCTCCCGCCCCGCTCCTTGCCCGTGCACCGACGCTGACGCAGGGACCCGACCCTCCTCTCGAAGCTCTTTTGTAACCCTGGCAAGTGTAACTCACCTGTTTCTAAGCAAGCCGGGCCAACCACACTCCTTTGTAGAGCCGAGTGTGGACTGTTCTCCTTTTCTATGCTTTGGGACCAAGCGGCTCTGTTCCCAGGGGGCGCCCTGATCATATAAAACTCGTAGTGCCTCAGAGACAGTTAAGGGAACACGTAAAAAGGAAACAAAATGAAATCAGAAGGTCGAATTCCAAGATTAATCGCAAGAACCACTCTCCACCTAAATTCTGCGCCGCCCCCGTTTAAAAAAAAAAAAAATTAGCTAGGGCTAAAGTGGCTAGAGGCAGGTGGCAGCCACTTGCATATCTGAGATAATGAAAAACTGCCGCCAGCCTACGGGAGCTGGAGGGAAGGGGGTGCGGAGAAAAGTATGCTCTTACGAAGCCTCCAACTCTTCTCCAACCTTCGCCTATTCTCAGACAGTTAGGACTAGAAACTGTACTTAAATGTTAGGAAGGTCTTCACGTTTAGTGAAAATGGGCATAACTGCCTAGTAACATCTTTTACTAAGCGAGTATTTAGGGTGTTTTCACAAGCAGTTTCCCGTTTTATCAGAGATTTCCAAAGTCTTGTTACTATTTAATTATTACTCCCCGTTGACGGTGAGGTAACCGAGGCTCCATGAAGTTATAGAATGTGCCCAAGGTCTTCCAGCACTTCTCCAGGCTCCATCTTTACAATGTTGTTTGCATAAATATCATAATTAATTCTTAGCAGGTGAAGAATAATAGAAACATTGTTCCCGCATTTCGGAAAGGTCTGGCTTTTCTGTCTCTTCACGTTGTCCAGGAAATGAAAAGATTTTGAAAATCATTTGGAAACTTCATTTTCCCCTCATATTTAAGAAATTAAACCATATCATATAGCGGTATGAATACCATTATTCAGACTTCAGATTGACTTCTGGAGGAAGCCCTGATAGTTTCTTGGACTTTCCTAGCTTTTTGGGGGTGTAAATGAGTGGTAGGAGATGAGAATGGAATATGTTCCCACATTCTTTCAGTACTGTTGTATTAATTCTGTATAAGACCTTGGGGGGGGGGGGAGGAAATCCTTATAGGGCTTATATAGTTTTTAAAGGAGAAAAAAAAATGTAATTTCAACTCCATTTTAACAACATTCATTAATGACATTATTATTTTGTGTTTTGCAGTCATTAAAATTATTCTTACACTTTTGAATTTTCTCTTTTAAAATGTCATGTTTCTAATGAGATTGACAGCTAGGAAGCAATAGTGTTTTACTTTTTAAATCTTCCCAAACTTTTGTCTTATTAATTTGAATTAATCTGAAACCCATAATTGTGAAAATTTCTAAAACGTCATTTTAGGGGCGCCTGGGTGGCTTAGTCGGTTAAGTGTCGGACTTTCGCTTAGGTCATGATTTCTCGGTTCGTGGGTCAAGCCCTGAGTCGGGCTCTGTGCTGACTGCCAGCTCAGAGCCTGGAGCCTGTTTCAGAGTCTGTGACTCCCTCTCTCTCTGACCCTCCCCTGCTCACGCTCTCTCTCTCTCTCTCTCTCTCCTAGAAATAAATAAAACATTAAAAAAATTAAAAAAATAAAACGTCATTTAAAAAATACTGTATATTATATACTTTAACACACATTGGATGAAAGTACATATCAAATTAAAATTTTCAGTAATGAACTATATATTTTAAAAACTTAAAAATTTTTCATGACTCATGTCTCTCCAGTTACATCAAAATTATTCTTTTTCATATTTTTGAAAATTTTTTGCAGTGTATGCTGTAGCTAACTGTACTTTGTAAGAGTAACAGAGTTAATGTTAGACTCTTTAGTCACCTCTATACCAATGCACTAAATGTGTTGCATTTAAGATCTTTTGTGTAACTCTTTCCTCCTTTCAGTGATTTGCTTCATCTTAGTCTAAGCTGTCAGCTTTTTAGTTACTTACCAATGCAAACAAGTGATTTAGGGCATCTGAAGAGCCATGAAATAGGATGCTGCCAGGCGGATTCTGGCCAGCACTTTTTAGTGTCAAGGCATAAATAGTCTGAATTGTGTTGGTCTGAAACACCAGCACCCTCTAGTGACCAACCTAATAACATGCTGTACCGTATATTAAAGAGAATTTCTAAATAACAAATAGATGCTTTGCTTAAGGAACCTCTGATATCTTTCTTAGGGGTGTACTACTTAATACATAACTATGGTCATTTTGTTTTCCTTGGAGTGCACAAACTGTCAGGTCTGCTTAATCAACAGACCAATGGAGTATTAGAGTCAGATTACTGAAAGACCACATATTCAAATATGTTTTTTTTAAGTATATAATGACCCAATCTATTTTTTTAATTAAAATTTTTTGAAGGTTTATTCATTTTTGAGAGACAGAGACAGAGCATGAGTGGGGGATGGGCAGAGAGAGAGGGAGACACAGGGATCTAGGCTTTGAGCTGTCAGTGCAGAGCCCAACATGGGGCTCAAACTCACAAATTGGAAAGATCATGACCTGAGCTGAAGTCGGACGCTTAACTGAGCCACACAGGTGCCCTTTACCCGTTATCTATTCTTAAATTATTCTCTAGAAATAATTTACATTTTTTGTGTAAATATCTTATATTTTAAAATTCACAACATATATCAATATTTAGCTAGTATTGATGAATTTATTTTGCTATGTCTACTGAACTTGCACTAAGAAATCTTGAAATAGATGTTACAAAAACAAGATCAATAACTATTTCACTGTGGCTCATTATTGATGGAAAATATCTACAATTCTTATTCCATAAATCCAATTGTTAATTTCAGCATATTTTATAAAATGTTTGTTTTTGAGAGAGAGAGCGAGCGAGCGAGCATAAGCATGGGAGGGGCAGAGAGGAAGACACAGAATCTGAAGCAGGCTCCAGGCTGAGCTGTTGGAGCCCAATGCGGGGCTCGAACTCACAAACCGCAAGATCATGACCTGAGAGAAAGTCCAACGCTTAACTGACTGAACCACCCAGGTGCCCCCAGCATATTTGTCATCCATCCATTCAAAAAATATTTATTAAGCACCTATTCTATGTCAACTACTATGTTAGTTGTTAGGGATATAAAAGAAACATACAGATATCCCTAATGTATGAAGTTTATGTTTTAGTGCAAAATTGATTTTTAAAATCTGAAATAACAGAAAAAAGAAATGCTAACTTCAGTGGCTTTTGTGATTTGCCATGGAGGTAAGATCTCCTATAAAATCCAATTTAAAAATTTATGTACAATTTTCATGAAAAAATGGAAAAATTATATAGTTTTCATGATCAAATGGGATTTATTTTAGGAACCCAAAGTAGATTTAAACACCCCAACATCAATCAATATAATTACTATTTCAACAAAATAAAGGAGATGCTTGAAGTCTTTGCTAAATCAAACATCTGAGTATACGGAGTCCCTTTGTAGTGACCGCATTTTCTTCAAACTTTCTTCCTGTTTCTTTACATGCCTGGTAGCCTTTAGTTGAAAACTGGACACTGTAGTTAATACACTGTAGTGACTGGATTCTTTGATCTACCCTGTGCTACAGTTTGTTGGGCGGTTAGTGATGGGGTCTACCCTATCTGTGGTTTTCCTGACTTCTATGGATTCTCCTCTAATTTCCAGCTGTTCTGCCAGCTTTGGGTTGTGCCCTACATTTCAAGCTTGTAAAGTTTCAAGTTTTTACCACCTAAGGTGAACATGGTGGAGAATAAACTCATTTAAGAAGGGCATCAATGTCATGGACATAGGTCTTGGGTAGTTTTATCTTTTAAGACTAGGATTCATTCTGGTCTTCACTTGGTTTTTCACCAGGCTCCAGGGGGGATTCTCGTTCATGCATAGTTTAGCTGTCAAACATATATTTGGATAGAAATTCTCTCTCATTCTTTTTAAGGTTATCACCTGGATTTCCTATTTAAATTCGCAGTGGTCTTTTCAGGCTTGAACTCCCTATCTCTGGCATTTTGCCAGTGAGACAGATTTTTCCATCACTGATTTCCTACAGATATTTGAGGGTTGAGCATCACTCAGTCCAAAAGGCCAGTAACCCTTAATTCTTAGCCCTTTCAGTTGCAGTTTTGAGATTAAACTCTTTGCCAATCTCTGTATGCTTTTGAACGCTTTCCAGTGAGTTTTAGTTGTTGTTGTTTTTAACCAGATTTTCATTGTTATCTGTAGGGCAGTGTATAATAGCATACAGACAGACATATCTGTTCAATGGAACAGAATGCTGTATCTATCTTCTATCTAAATAGGTAGATATATATGGCTACACACACACACACCGAGGAGGATACAGGTATACAGATAAAAGATAGGTATACACACATCTGTCCATATGCGTTCAATTAATTTTCAGCAAGTTTGAGTCTTGTCAACAAATGGTACTGAAAAAACTGGATACCTATATGAAAATATAAATTAACATAAACCTTACCTCATGCCAAACAGAATGGACTGTAGATATACCATGAATAATCCAAATTCTCTTTG